TGAGTTTATGGATTAAACCTATCAGCAGAGATTATCTTACAGTTCGAATATTTACTGGTATGAATGAGCCACTGTAAGTTAAGTTAGTAATAAAAACTATCCTGATATACTCATGTATAAAAATATGTATACAAACAGAACAATTATTGCAGCATGACACCTGCAGCTTTTGAGAGTATGAGGTTAATTGTAATAGTTATTGCAGTTTTATTGAAACTTGTATTAATGCCAATGTACTTGCAATCATACCTTAATTTAGCTGTACAACGATTAGAGAATCAAAAGAAGGAAGCTGGAAGAATTACAAACGTTGATTTACAAAAAAAGGTATTTAGAAGTAAAGGTATAGTGTGTTCTTTTTTATCAAAATTATAATCAATGTGTTTTGTTTCAGATTGCCGCAGTATTTTACTACTTGTGCGTCGTAGCGTTACAATATATTGTTCCATTAATCATATGTGTATTTTTTACTTTCATGTACAAGACATTAGGTAAAGTAAATAAGTTGATAGCATTGCGAACTAATAATTATATCATGCATTGAAGGTGTTTGTACATTTAATATTTATCTTAGGTGGTTATACATGGGAAGGTATTCTAAAGGGGTCAGCACTTGAAGAATGTCCAGCAGATGAACCACCTAAATCTGTACCAAGTGCAATGAACAACGATGATAATGAAAAAACCGTCGTACAAACAGCGCAAGATTTCCAACTAGCTTTGAGTTCTTTAAAGCAGGTAATATTAATAATTACATAACTAGCAGTAGGTATCTTCTGAAATTTCTTCATATATTTCTTATTTGACAGATATTCACTACAGATGTGTATAGAGGTTTGTTAGGTTTAGCAACATGGTGGAGTTGTTTCGCATTGTTTGCAACTACCGCTATGGGGATGTTTTATCAATCATACTTTACTAGTATGTAAGAAAATATTATCAAGGGGGACATTTGAAGTCATTTCGCACAAAGTTACGTCATTGGTTTGTCGATGCTGAAACTATTGGATTAATGCATAAATCCCAAAATCTATTTATTTTAAAGAAGTACCTATATGAAGGTATGCACAATACCGGCTGTTTCAAGGGAGCGTTGATAAAACTTTTATAATATAGATAGCAATACAAATGATACGATTGCAATACGAATAAACTAACTATTTCAACAAAAAAGTTTAAGATTAGCAATTGCATACTCCTTTTATATTGTACAACATATAACGTTTATATAAAAAATTAAGAGAATACTTTGTCATAAAGTATTGCAAACATAAAAACAGAGAAATTTTTAAATGTTTTACAGTTAATTCTAAATAAGACTTTCGAATGTATGCAAGACATAAATAAATCGAATCACTGCCAGTAGATAAGCTATTTGGTATTCCATGAGAAACCAACTGATTACGATTAATAACTCGTCTGTGTATCAATTCCTCATTAACCTGGTCGAAAGTCGCTTTCGTCGATAATATTACAATCGTAGATAGTTCAAATAGAAATATTACACTGCCATGTACATATTCACTTTAACAATATGTAATGCAAATCTTGTGTATATTTCTGTACAGTGTTTATTAAAATTTTGCGTACAATAATGATAAATTTTATTTGTGAAAATCATGATAAATTTTTGTTTGAATATTTTCGTTCCTTAATTATTTATTTCTTATTCATTATATCATATTATAAAGATCCGTGAAAGAGAAAACTATTTGAAGTGATTACAATTCATGGATTGTGCTATTTTGGTATAATGGTATGGTATCATGGAGAAAGTACGATGGTACATTTGAAAATGTGTCGATGCGATGCTACTCACGTATCAACCAGGCTGCTTCCGCGATATATAACCCCCCACAGACTTACTCAATGTCAGAATAGCTATTGATTTTCGTCGACGATAATACTGTCAGTGATTTTTTAACGATAAACTTTTTGGAGAGAATCGAATAAGTTCCTAAAAACTTACAACATGCTGGTAAGTACCAATCATTGTAACAGAAGTTCTTACTCTAACATAATGTTCCTACCATTACATATTTCAATACAAATCATTATTTTCAGAAATATACAGCACTTTATTGCATGATGTTTCTTTCTGTGTTTGGTGAACCACCTATTCAAGGTGTAAGACCAACCAATGTACTGGGCAGTTCTGATCAACATGCATCTTTTAGTTTTGTTAGACCAGGCTTAACACAAACAGCTTTTGCATTTAGTGGTCCTAGCTCTCACCAGTCATTTAGCTCCAGTATTGGAAATCCTTATTTGGCACAAAGAGTTTTGCCAAATGTTGCTAATGCACTTACCTATAGAAATCCTGGCTTAGGTTTGTAATGTATTTTTAGGATTTCGTAGTTTACAATTAAATATATTTTTAATACTATAAAACAGTTGCGATTAAAATATATATATCATGCTTCAGGTGCATTTCCAGTTGGTCCTATTGCACATGGTTATACAACTGCACCAGTTCCACCTACATTTGGATCATTTTCATCAGCGCCAATTCCGTATCAAGGATCTGTAGATCCTGCCGCAGCTTATTATCAACAGTTACAACAAATTCAGCAACCTCAGTACAATGGTTATTCTGCAGCCACTGCATATCAAGCACAATTGGCACAACTTCTTGCAATAAGACAAGCTCAGGCTCAGGCCCAGGCTCAGGCTCAAGCACAAGCTCAAGCACAAGAACACTTGCATGCCACCCAAGCACAACAGGTAAAAAATAATTTTAGATTCTATTACTTAGCGTATGTTTCATAAAATTCAAATGTGATTTCTGTTTAATAGTAATCGTCCGTAGGTATCAGAACAGGCTGAATTACAACACGAGGAACAGCAACAGCAACAACAATCTCAAAATTTGTTAGGAATTGCCTACTCATCTGCACCTGCAGTAGCACGAGTTAAAGTATCTGGAAATGGTTATAAATTTGATTTTTAAACAATACAAATGTACATACTATTTTAACTTTACTTTATATATCTTCACATTATATTTATTTATTTACATTGATTTAACGCGAATATACATATTTTTGTATTTGATGGGTATTAAAATTTTGTAATATTTTTATGAAGGAGCTTTTATTTTCTACTTACCTTATTATAACTGAAATTCGCTCAATTAAAAGCTTACGATTGGGATCCTACGCTTTTCTTAGACGCAGCTTTCCACTTTTGTGAAAAAATAATAAGTTATGTTAAAAACAAAACCAATAAATGTACCATCAAAGGCACCGGGGGGATTCGAACCCCCGATCTCCTGTTTACTAGACAGGCGCTTTAACCAACTAAGCCACGGCGCCTATTAGTTGTAAGTTTCTTTATTATTTGTCAGCTGAAATTATTTATTAATATCGGCAAATCAAATATAATATACATGTATCATTTTTTTAAATGTAGACCGGCTCAAAAGAGATTTACATTGCAGATTCTCTATGTTAAGGCAAACCGAAAAGTCATTCACTATTTTGCAATCTGTGATACTGTTTTCGAAATTTAAGCGGTTAAAAATTGGATATTTAACTTCCGAGACGCCAAGTTAAGCATTAAGTGATGAGACCAAGATGTACTGAACATTGTATTACCTTCCACTATATGAAAAATTATTTCTTTAGATAATTACCTTACCTATATTTACATTACATATATTATAAAACCGCGTGTTACTTTGGAAAATTATAATTACATGTTATGCAAAAAAAATAAATTGACCAACCTTTTCCGCAGTCGGTAGGACTCGAACCTACGCTCCCAGAGGGAATCTGATTTCTAGTCAGACGCCTTAACCACTCGGCCACGACTGCTACGGTATTCGGCTTTTCTCCTGAAAAGGAAACAGTTAAATGTTAGAAATAGTTCTATAATAATATTAATTATTCTATAATAATTCAGAAAAATATATTGTTTATAAAGTACTGAAACTTGTAATACCCTAATCAGAATATTGTTTCGGAAAATAAAGCACTTTTATATGATTTAAAAGTTTAGAGTCAATTGTTGGACCTATCCTCATTAATATTTAAAAATTCTACATCTATTACACAAAGATTATGAATTAATAATTACGAGTAATATAAAGATAAAAAAAAGTAAAAAAAAGAAATTGACCCCGACGTGATTTGAACACGCAACCTTCTGATCTGGAGTCAGACGCGCTACCGTTGCGCCACGGAGTCTTTGATACATCGATCTTTTTCGTACAGAATGATTTTCAACTCCTCTTCATACTAACATGAATTAACAAAAAAGAATTTTAATTAGAACATACTAAACATTTTACTAAACATTGCTAAATTGTCATTATTGTTTACCCTTTCACTTTTAAGTCCATATGACATCCAGGCAACACGGAGATTCTTCTTCTGAAAAGAAATCGAATACGTTATTCTGATAACCTCATCATTGTTTAAATTATCTATAAAATAATGAATGAAAAACAATATCTGTACCTACATCTTTCATATATACAATATTTACAAAGATGTTCAAAGTGGAAATAACGATTACATCGCAAATAGTCATCAATCACTAATTTATTAACTGTTACAATGTGTTCAGTGAAAAACACGTGGTGTTTTGATAAGAAGAGGATGGCGCAGTGGGTGGAAGTGACGACCCAAAGTCAGTGCTTCCGTCTGAAAACTGAAATTCCGGTTGATCTGTAGCATCTACTATGAAGAAAAAATACTTCTGCATTAATTTGGGATAAAGGTATCCATGCATGAGGCTTTATGATGGCACTGAATTATCCGAGAAGCATATTGACTTAGGAAGCTATCTCTCTCCCTACATTGAAAAGAGTTTCGCGCGGGTTGTCTCACAAAGCCCCTCCTGGCACCAGGAGTTCATACATGAACGTAGTAGCATCTTTCATCCGGTACACTATTACGATATTCCGTCATACCTTGACTTTCGCCCGTGAGGAATTTTTTCAACAGGAACGCATGCGGCCAACAGTAATTTCATGACGCCACCGATAGAAGCGCTAGTGTACATACCGATTTGTATGTGTAAATATATACGCATGTCCCTACATATTACAAGCTTCAGCTATAGAGAAGCCAAGTCCCCCACTGGACTACACGTTAATTTTAGGGGAAAGCGTAATAAGATTTGATCCACCTATGAATAATGATGAAAAGATTATCGTTGTGCTAAGAAATCAAGAATTATAATGGAAAGATTAAGATTTTGCAAAGGATCTCGTTTGTGGTCGCAGGTAAAGGAAATATTTATTAATTTCAATTTTGGGGAAAAACAGTGTCACTGTCCTATGATTACACTTTAATTCATACAGGTGAGGTTAGAACGCGGAGGCAAAATGCATTAGTGGTACAATTTTAAACGTGGCCAGCTGCCTCGTGTTATTAGACGTATATTTGGACCATGGTCCTGCCGAAATTTCTGTCCATACTGAGAGAATGAATTAATAAACAATGAAAAGGGGTCATTATGGACCAATAAAATATTCTATGTCACAGAGGTGCTTAAGGCCCGCGCGGCTCTTCCTCAAAATTATGTCTTTCCAATCCGCGGCTAACATAAGTTACACGGAGGTATGGCTAGGGTACTGACCATCTATCGCTCTTCATGCGTTCCTGCTTGTGAATCGGTTAAATTGTTGATTATGTCCATTCTACTCGTTAACTACAGATTGCTGGAGGCTGCGTGTAAATTAGCATAGCTCCATCCGCAACCTACAACGTATAAGTACAGGATGCAGAAGATAAACCACGATAGTCGAGAACACAGTTTATCGTCGGCTGCGTTTGATGCATACAATACTTAAGTAAGAGCAAGTTTGTACGTATATATTAAAAACATGTTTAACGTAACTTGATGATTATTTAATGAGAATTCTATTTAGCTTATTATTTGCCAGTATATATTTAATCTACTGAGCTGAATTATTTTTGAAGAAAAATCCTAAGTTTTTGCAAAACCAAATTGTATTACAACAAATTATTTTAAAGTCTTACAGGATTTTCATTTTACTACTGCCTTGAATTTGTTTATTAGTACAGTGTGAAGATGGTACAATAATTGAATGATTATTTAACTAGCAAAGTCATTCAAACTTAATCAATAACATATTAGAACAGCCAGGTATGATTGTACTTGAGACTAAATTTAATAATATTATAAATAAATCTGAAATCTGAAGTATTTTAATTGAATATTTTAACAACAACAACGTACTTGAAATGCATGAAAGTATTGAGAGTTGATACAACGAATATTACGCGCGTATAAAGTTAGTCTGTCTAGTGTACCCTTCTCGATGAACATGGTATCCTACTCCAAGGAGGGGCTAAATGAGACAACCCGCGCGAATGTCGCTCAACTGTCAAGCGAGGAGAAAGGTTACCCCTTCATGCTACCCTAATATTTCGCGTCTTGTGTGCGGGATGTGAGCACGCACTGCACTTCAATTTAAAGAAAATGCGGATATTTGAATTTGGTGTGGCACTTCTCTACTCTGATATCCACAAGATTAAATTATTTCTGAAAATACAAACCACTGAAGACATTAAATACAAGTTGCCTTATGGAAATGATTATTGTACAGTGGCAATGGATTTCTTTTTGATCAAGTTACTGAGAAAAGAAGGTCACCTTGATTTCTTTCATGGTACGGTATGTTTTCACTTTGCCACGTAGTAGTCTTCTAAATAAAACTTCGTAGACAGTTTCAATTATACAATAGTAAAAAAAGCCTTAGTATGTAATATGAAAAGGTACTAATAAATTATATTTTACAGAGTCCCTGGAAATACATCACATTTTTGGTATTAATTACATATTATTGATTAATATCGGTTGCTAAGACTGGATTGTAGTCTAACGATGGACGCTTCAGAATGAAATATAATTTATTATTCAAGCAGTATTTAAAGGATTCAGCGTGGTATCGATATCTTTTGTATTCATGGGGTGTGGCTCAATGGTGGCATCTTCAGAATGAAACCTGTATCAGGTTAACATGTTATTCAGAAACATATTTACTCCTGTACCTTCCAAACCAACCAGGATTATTACTACATTTTTTTTTCTAGTTTTGTTCTATAATTGAATCACTGTTCAATAACGGTACTTGGAAGAAATTGAGCAAGGCTAATCTTTGAATGTAACAACGGATAAGAATATTCCATTTATCTGCAAGAGTAAAAGGATGTTCTGTACAACATGGAGGATTATTTAATAATTAAATTCACGAAGAAGACTAACACAATCGAAGTTCCCGTAGCAACGTGCTCTCCTAATAAATGTGAACCACGGCGCCGCGTGCCGACGCAACCTATTGGACCTTCAAAGAAGTTGCCACGCTACCACCGTCTTCTTCCACGCCAACGATACGCGAAGGTTAAGAGGAATACAATAGAGGAATTTGTTCGTGCCGTTTAATTGTTATGAATTAAGACAAAAAGTATATGGCAGCGGTGGGATTCGAACCCACGCCTCCGAAGAGACTGGTGCCTTAAACCAGCGCCTTAGACCGCTCGGCCACGCTACCGTTGAAAATACATCTCATAGAAACATCACGTATAGGGATTAATGATACAGATAAAATGAAATAACGCTTTTCCTGTAAAATTAAGTCCACGCGGTATGATTCTTGATGGTTGCTATTGCCGGATAGAAACCTATATGATATTTGAAACGTCTCTCAAAATTGTTTTATATCTTGTTTCTGAGAAATATGTTAAAGCAGTTCGCACTATTTCCAGATAGTGAAAATATTGCGTTCACGTGATTCTTTAATGCTTTCCAAACGATACCGGCGGAGGTGCTAGCATGTAAATCAGGGTTGGTTGGTGAGTAAGTGATCCATATATAGAAGCGCCCCCACGTTCACCAACACGAGCGTACACCTGTCACGCATATATACGCAGCACGAGGGCCGAAGCGCACACTTTTTGTGCTTGAGTTGGGTAAAGCTCTACCGATTCACGCCTTCAACGTTTCGTCAATTGCAAAAGAACGCTTGCTTACGTGTACTTATACATCATGCCTGGACGTCCACTTTGGCAGGTAAGCCGTGTTGGAAGAATCTGCATTCATTTTTTGCTATTAAGTGACTTTTTAATTAAAGAATAAGTTTCTTACATCAGTAATTCTTATTGAATTGAAATTCTAGTGTAACTGTAACAATAAAATTACAATTATTTTGCTGTAGTTATATTTGTTAAAAATCTTTCAGGGTGCCTCCTGTGTGAATGGTGAAATCTTGTTTACACTGTGCTTATTGTTACCATAGAATCGGTGTGTGAATGTTGCTGAATCAATCATATTCAAAAATTTGAGAGAACATGTGCTTGTGAATTCTATTGACGAGGGCGAGTAGAAAGGGTAGAAGAAATTTCTTTCCCTTGACACACTGAAAAACCATCTATTTCAAACATCTGACTCAGCATACGTGTCCGCAATATTCTTACGAGTTTTCATTTAAGTGTTTCTAATTCTGGAATGCTTATAAGCCGTGAGTCACCTTGATGCACCAGTACCTAAATTTGATTTACACGCGGGAAATCACGGGAAATCGAATTATTTCCACGAAGGTCATTTCATTTTCAAGCACGTGTTGCGATCTGTATCTTCCCTCTGTGCCGTCAGGGTGCAAATCGTTGGTTGGCTCGTCGCTAAATTAAGGGATCTTAGAAATGTATGGTGAATTAGATAGTTAATGCGATACCCATGACACAAACTCAGCTGTCTTGTACACCGTGAATGCCCAAAAATAACTGGGATACCGCTGAGACGCGGCAAGCCAAGCAACGATTTTTAAGTAAATTCTACGTTTTCTCGATAAAAATGAAAGAAAAATTTGTGTCGCGATGACGACACGAATCGCGGTGCAAGGTTTATTTACAAACAAGTCGGTTTGGTATTTTCGTGGCTGTTGCGCCGAAATTAACCCGTCCAATTTCAGAGTACGCTCGAGGTTCTTGAGGTTAACGAAAGAGAAATCCAGAAGCCAAGCCAAGGTTTTTCGTTTATAATTTCGTTGGATTGAAGAAATTTCATGACGCGGGGAGTATCTTGCTAATTAACTGAAACATACTGTTGCCAAAAATTCTGAGTAGTTCACACTTGAAACGTTATACCTTCCTCTAATGTTCCATTACTGTGAATATCTTCTTCATTTTGCAAGTCACTCAACGAAATATGCAATATTTTAAAGATAGACTCGTTATTGTTACATTAGCACGAAACTTGGCATTCTTTCTGACCGAGCTGTTTTCAATTTTTGCGATATCTTTCGTTACCTTTGTTTTTCTAACATAACAAAGAAAACAAATATTTTTCGAAGATAATAAGATTCGTTGGCCTTGTTTTCTAATTCGAACGACCATCATGACGATTTAGAATGATTCGGATAATAGAAAATAGCAGCGCTGTCTTTTTATTCCGTATACTTGTCGCTTACATATTATTAGCAAATGGTCAGTGAATAATTAAAAATCTTAGAAAAGGCATTACACTATTCATTTAGATTAATAATAGATTAATTGTCACAGTGAAAATAGGATACAAGTAGTTAAGTTTTAAATTGAAGCTTTCAATCTTCTACCTCGTATCGTATTATTAGTATAATAGTAATACTATGCAAATATTTTCTTCTCTTTTAATTAATACAATTACATTTGAGACGTTGGTCACTGATGATCGACGTTGCAGTCAATGTGTTAATCCGAGACTTTTAATAAAGTCTTACAGTTCGTGTTGAAGTAACTGTGAGATCTTATTTACTACTCGTAAATTTCTTTTCTCCATACGAGTGACAAATGTATTATTGTCACTTTGTGTCATGTTTCCTGTTCTCTTTAATAAATAACTCGTGAAAGCTGTCCATCAAGTTGTAAGTTAATATCTGGTACGTGTTTCATGTGTAAATGTAGGTACGTGACGTGTAAATGTATTGTGTATTTGTTAGGTGTATAATGTAATAGGGGTGTAAAGTATCCATGTAATGTACAGTGTAATGTATAGTGTTATAAAGTATCAACTAACGTTCAAAATCGTTGCTTATTAAATAAGATCTCGCCCTGCCCTTCGACACGTATAATACAACAAATGTTACAAATTTCTCTCGACATATATTAATGAAAAACAATTTGATACGTCCTCATAGATATCCATTCAGAAAATATTGTGACTAGAATATCCCGAATCGTTGTATCTGGAGATCGTTAGTAAATAGTAAAAGAATATCTATAGCTATGCGGATAGTCGAGAACGCGTTTTCCTTCGCGTCGAGGATATAAACGTTTACATATGTCGAGTGTTGCCAAATCCACCATGGCCAGATTGACTAGCTCCTTTGTTGTAACCCATTTGCAAATTAAGTTGGCCTTCGCTGGCTCGGAGCTGTTCTTCCGTGAACGATCTTTTGTTTTCATCGGCCATCTTCGGTCCTAGACGTGGCCCATTGTATTCAGGATGCTTTTGCGTCTGAATGAAGAAAACATTAAAATAATTCATAAATATCTGATCTCATTGAAAGTTTCAAAATTGGGACACTTACAATCCTACCAAGAGCATACAGACATAATGTAACTTGTGGGATGTTACGTCTTTCGAATAGATCAGCAGTTTGGAAGATTTCTTCTTGCGGGACACCGTATTCCTTGATGGCAGCTTGAAATCTAAAAATGATTGATATATTAATTCAGTATACGTTGATAGAGAATAGGTTTCAGTTGAATACCTCTGAACATTTTCCATAAGCTGGAAGTTGGTTCCTTTGGTTTGAATCTTCTTTACTGATCCTGGTGCCATTTTGTTGATGAGCTTGCAAAGGACCACGCCATCCTTAAGGATGTCCTCGTAATTTCCTGGCGGAAGTTTCTCTCCTAGGACAGCCTCGATCCAGGCCAACACTTCGGTCTCCTGTTCCTTGTTGCGAGCCTGTGAACCGGAAGTTTGCTTCATTCATTATCCCACGCTTCCCGAATTAGAATCAAGC